GGTCCGGGAGCTGCCGGTCCCGCTGCAGGCGGTCGGGGTGGCCGGGGGTTCTGTGTGGCCTTGCCCAAGAAGGGTCTTTGCGCTGTGAACACCCTGGGGCCGGGTCCCCAACGTCCCCGTGCCCTTTCCCTGTCCCCAGCCTGGCCCCGCGGAGCGGCCACGTCCCCGCTCAGCTGGACGGGGCTGGACTGTGGGTGCAGGCACTGCATAGCGGGATGCTCGGGACCCCGACACCTCTCCCGGCTCCGTGGAGGCACTGGGAAGGTCTCACCCACCCAAACCAGCAACCGGTTAGGGACAGGGTGGCCGTGGGGCAGCAGACAAGTGGGGTCACTCTGCTTTTGCCTTCTGGGGAGCCAGGCAGCGAGTCCTGCTGCAGGCTGTCCCCTTGGTCCTGCCCTGACGCTGCCCAGTCCTCCCTAGATGCCAGTGAGCCTCTCCACGGCCCTGCGTGTCGTCGGGACCAGCCTCTTCGCCTTGGCGGTGCTGGGGGGCATCCTCGCTGCCTACGTCACTGGGTACCAGTTCATCCACACGGAGAAGCACTACCTCTCCTTTGGGCTCTACGGGGCCATCCTGGGGCTGCACCTCTTCATCCAGAGCCTCTTCGCCTTCCTGGAGCACCGGCGCATGCGGGGCGAGGGGCGGCCAGTGCGGCTGGGGCGCTCGGTGGCCCTCTGCATCGCCGCCTACCAGGAGGACCCCGACTACCTGAAGAAGTGCCTACGCTCTGTCAAGCGCATCGCCTTCCCTGACCTCAAAGTGGTGATGGTGGTGGACGGTAACAGCCCTGATGACACCTACATGCTGGACATCTTCCACGACGTGATGGGCTCTGAGCACTCGGGCAGCTACATCTGGAGGAGCAACTTCCATGCGTGGGGCGAGGGGGAGACAGAGGCCGGGCTGCGGGAAGGTCTGGCCCATGTCCAGGCATTGGTGCGGGGCACCACCTACTCCTGCATCCTCCAGAAGTGGGGCGGGAAGCGGGAGGTGATGTACACGGCCTTCCGGGCCCTTGGAGACTCCGTGGATTACATCCAGGTGGATGCATGGGCTGCGGTGGGGTGGGTGGGATGGGTATGCGGGCAGTAAGTGCCCTGCATGCACGGCTGGGCGGAGGGGCTGCGGGAGGAGCAGCCCCGTGATCCCACGGCAGCACCCAGCTGCTGGCCGCTGGATCTGGCCCCATGCACCAGGTGCAAGCCACCAGCACCAGCGTTGGGGGTGAAGTGCCACCAGGGTGGCCGTGACAGCACTGCTGCCCACCAGGGTTTCACATCACCTCACATCACCTCCTCGGTGCATCCACTGCCCCAGGCTGGTGTCACCCCTTGGGACAGTGTGGCACAGTGTGGGGTGCCAGGCTCCCACGTGTGGGTGAGGGGTGGTGGCCAGGGCAGATGCCACCATGG